TTTCCAGAACTGAGGATTGAACTCAGGCCCTTGTTCTTGCCAGGGAAGCGCTTGTTCTAATGAGCCATCTCCCTGACCCTGGATACAATTCTTATGCCCCCAAATTTTGTGAAACTAAAATAAAAAATGGAAAGTTAAATCTGATAAAACCAAGTCTTCTTCTTATAAGACTTTTGCATATTCCAAGATACTGAGTCATGGCCAGCCTCTTACACTATTGCTAAAGGAGTGAGAATTAATGTTCTCCTCTTTCTTCTCACTCTTCTGTCTGTGCTTACTCAGGAATGTGTAACTTACCTGCTACACTGCCTAATTTTTTTTTTAAAACCCTCACATGGCTACTCAGCATTAAAATTATTTCTCTTCTCTTCCTTCCATTCCATTAGCATTTAAAGCTTTCCCTTTGAAAGAATCTGCGTTATCTAATCAGAGAAAAACAACCAGAATTGTGAGAGAACACAGTCTAATATTTTCTTTCTCTGAGATATTTTTACTGGAGATGACAATGTTTAATGTCTCTAATAAGGAATTCAATGCCTTATTCTAGATTATGGAAAGGTAAATAGCCTGGCATACAGGGCACCACATCCCAAGAAATCCCAAAAACTGTGGTTTTCTCTTCTGTATCAAAATAAGTTGGTGTTTTTTCAAAAAAATTTTTTTTAAAAATATTTATTTATTTTTATTTATTACATTTATTTATTGTGTGTGTGTGTGGCCAGCTCAGCCCACCAGGGGGCGGGTCTGGCTGGCATGTGGTGCTGGGGATCGAACTGCGGTCCCTGTGCTTTGCCAAGCTTGTTTCAAGTAGGTGCTTTAGACCACTGAGCCATCTCTCCAGCCCCTCAAAAAATTTTTGAAGCTAAAAAAACCAATTAAGTGTGAAAGTGACCATTTTCCATCCTATATTTCTACCTTAGAACTGCATCTATGGTTATAAAATTCAACATAAAAAATTATTCCTCTCCAAACATGAAGTAGTGATGATAGTAGCTGAGGATGAGGGACATTAACCTATCAAGTGAGATAACAATGTGAAAGCTTACCCTAATGACAGGCTGCACTGAACGGCAATAATGTAGCAAGTGCATGTTTTATGTGTTGTACCATGCAAAGATACTTATGCTGCATGCGTTTATTAGGTGAGGCTCTTTTCAGTGGTTTTATTCATTTATTTAATGACTATTTATAGAGTAGTTCTATCGGCAATCTAGGGAGCTATCTAGTGCCAGTGGATTTAGTGGTGAATAAAATCAAGGGCTTATTTGGGGAAACAGACTATAAACAAAGGAAAGGCCAGTGGTTGAGGCCAATATTTATAAATCTGACTTTTGAAATTTTTATTTTATAGTCAAGAATTTGTCTCAATTTCTTCTTTTCAAAGAATACAATTCATGTTGTTTTGTATTATTCTTTTCTTATTTTATTTTTTTTTGGTGAAACTGGGGATTGAACTCACGCACTTGTGCTTGCCAGGGAAGAACTTATTCCACTGAGCCATCTCCCCCGCCCCTGTTTTGTATTCTTCTTTTTTTTTTTTTTTTTGCGGAACCGGGGATTGAACTCAGACCCTTGCACTTACCAGGGAAGCACTTACTCCACTGAGCCATCTCCCCAGCTCCTTGTTTTGTATTATTCTTGCAATAATTCTCTCTTCTCTCTTTTTCCTCCTTTCCTCTTTCTCTCTTATTGTAGAGAAGTTTTTTCTATGTCCCTCTCAATTTCTTTCCTTTTTCCAGTTTGCCTTAATGGCTATATTTCTAGTGACCCAAATGGCTTAAGATTTATAGAGGCATTTGTTTGAGTTGTTACAAACCTCTGCATCTACCCATAAAATAACCAAACGATTCCAGTGTGTAATGGAGCTGCAGACTTGTGACTCAACGCAAGAAAATCAGCATAAAACCTTAGGAAGCAGCACAAACACGTTCTCCAATTCCCCTGGAAAAACAAATGATATATGGAGATTGCTTCTCAGAGATAAAATAATTCAAAACCACAGGTTGTTTGAAAAAGAAGGAATTTTATAATGTGTACATGTTTTTGCTTTAGAGAAAAGAGATAAATCTCTATGTACTACTTTATAGATGTCAGGGCCACATCTTAAAAATGTGTTGTGGGCATAGTTTGAATTTGTCCTGCTGTACTTCACTTCCTTTTCCACGCCTGCTCCTGCCGTTTACCATTTCTGCACACTAGCTATGCTCAGTTTGCACATCCAGTTAAGATTTCCTTCTGAACTTGGGAGATCATCTTCAGCTACAAAATTTCATCAGTGATAAAGCTTCATTCAACGTTTACCTGCCAAGGGCCTATTTTTACCTTAGGCCCTGCCCTTTGCTCAGTGGCACTGTAAAACATATGTGGTGCCATAATGATCAAATAAAAGGTTTCCTCCCACAGTTTAATCATAATGATGGGCTGATAATGATGGGCTGATTTAATCCCTTGGCACCTGAAAAAAAAAATTTGGTAGGGCTCCGAATTCTTCATGGTGTGGACCCTGGAACTATCCAAAGAAGTGAGCCCGTGGCTTGTCTAGGTGAATCACCTTTGGGTGATGGCCAGCAGATTACTTCATGACTTTGAGCCGGAGCTCTTGCATCTATAAGAAAGACAGTATTAGTGACTGCTTTGTCCTTTTGCTAATTTGCATGTAATTAGCATTTTCAAAGGGAAACGTGATGGACAGATGAAAGGAATAATTAATTTGGATGATTTTTCATTACATATTAGCCTAATTAAAATATATAAGCTTCCATTAGGAGTAGAGCTATTGTGGGGAAATGTAGATCACCTCAAAGGTGCCCATCTGACAAGTAGTGTGCGCTTTGTGCTGCTGTGCTCTTTTCTTCTTTTGGTCCTGTGTCACTATATTTAACAATTCAAATGTTATTGGACTGCTTTAGAGTAAATGTCATATGAAAGCTTTATTTTGCTATTTATTGTAATGGAGAAAAAGGAAGTGAGATAAGACAGATGTAGAACCATTGAAATAAGCCTGTAGAATTGCATTTTAAATGCTCGACACCTATTTTTTAAATCACTGATTAGAATATACGTAACTATTGGCATTAAAGTTTTATTAAAATCTTGACATCTGGTCAGGAATTGTAGTCAATAGAATTTTAATGTATGCAATTTAATTGCTCTTTGGGGGGGAGGCTCGAGCAGGAATTAGAATTTAAAGAAGAGTTCCTTGACCTTGATTAGTCTCCACAAGGCTGCAGGGGGTCTTGGGACCAACCAAAGTTGGGTTGAGTAGTGTAAGCAGCTACACTTGTATGGAGCAGAGTGCAGAGCAGTGCAACCAGCTACATATACGTATTTTCTGGTGGGGTTAGCAGTTCTCATGAGATTCTTACAGGAATTCTCATCCCTTGAAAGATTAAGAAATAATTATATGACATTAATATCACATTTTAGAAAGATACAAACAAAATATATGTTTTGTATTCCTGTTCAACTGTCAACATTATTAATGGGTCATCTCAAAGGTCTGGAACAATGAAAAGTGTTAAAAAATCAGATAAAATTAAAAAGTAAAACATATTTAGTTTTTAGAACAAATTTGTTATAGGTATATATTTGTTTTAGATATTGCATCTCCAATTTAGGTATGATCCTCAAGTCATGCTCTCTTTCTCTTCTTCTGTATTCTGGCTGCTGTGTTAAACTTCTTGTTTCTCCAGGATGACTAAAAATATTGGTGATGATGGTGGTGGTGATGACAATACTTTCAACTTCAGCTGGAAGGTGTTCTGCAGCTGGGACTACCTGATTGGCAACCCAGAAACAGCTGACAATAAATTTAATTCCATCACAATGAACTTTAAGGTAGATGCAAACTTCAAAATTCTGTTCATATATTTCTAAGTGTAACTTCAGTAGCATTCCATACAGTCTAGTTAGCCCAGTATCTTAATAGAAGACAGGTGAATTTAATATTCTGCCTACAGAGACCTGGGCATAGTTCTAATTATGACTGGGAAATGTCCCGTGACCCACAATAGCATTATTAGTGCTTCAGGACTTTTCTCTCAATTTGCTAATAAACTAATATTACTGGATTGAAACAGAACAATATTAGTAATAAGAATCAGATAGCTCAAGTAATACAAAAATGTTTACTAATTATTTACAGAAATAAGCTCAATATTTAAAATTTCTACAACATTCTTATGTAGCTTTAAATATTGTATGGGAAATAGTATCTTCTAGGATGAAGACTAGCTTTAGTATTTCGAAAGTTTTTTGGAAGAATTTATCCTTTGTTTCACTGGTCTTTGTGGCAGTATTCATCTGGTTTATAGAACTTTAGACTTAGTTTGCATTTTTGTTCCTCATACTCCTGAGTTCCTGATATATTTTACTTCTGAGATCTTAGTTATGTATTGTTTTGCTTGGATATAGGAAGCTATTACTGAAGAAAGAGCAGCCCAAGTAGAAGAAAACGTCCACTTGATCAGATTCCTGAGATTTCTTGCCAACTTCTTTGTGTTCCTGACCCTTGGAGCAAGTGGATACCTCATCTTTTGGGCTGTGAAGCGATCCCAGGAATTTGCACAGCAAGATCCTGACACCCTTGGGTGGTGGGAAAAGAATGAAGTTCGTCTCTGTGTACTTTTATGTTCTTAGAAGCTGTTGCAGTTTTGTGGCTGATTTTTCTGTGATGAGACCCTTGACAAAGCTGCTCTTTACCTGTCCTCCCACCTGGCCCTTATGACTCACCAGCTTTGTTGCCCACACTGCTGTCTTATTCCAAAATCTGTACTGTCTTTCCTTTCGCATTGTGATGGAACATAAGAATCAGGGCAGGTATTAGCAAACATATAATCTGTTAATATTTTACTTTTAATAGATGTGATGATAAATATAAAGATTTTGATGATAGGTTTATATCAAAGACTTAGGAGAAGAGTCAGGGTAAGAACGCAGTAGTATTGGTTTGAAGTCTAAAATTCTCCATTTGAGCTTGTTTTGCTTCCCCTGAAGATCTTGGATGTGTCACTGAAAGATCCAGTTTCTGAATTCTTTGAAATAGCTATGATAAAGCCCCTGGTTCCTATATTTATCTCACTAGAAGCATGCAGATTTCTTTCTTGGATTTTGGCTTCCTTCTCTTTTTCATGAGAAGACTAATTAGGCATCTTCAATCTCTTCCTCCCAGGCACCTTACTTGTTCTGCTAATCAGTGGTGGAAGGCCAGCTTCTTGCCATGTTTACCTTCACAGTATAGAGAAAGGTTACAGGTATAAATTTAGGATTAGGAAATAATTGGTCATGAATTGTTGCGAGGGACCAGTATAAAATGTGGCATTATTTTGAACTTGGGCATTTTCAAATAACATGTAGATTTAGGTTGAAAAAATTGAAACCTTTCCATGCGAAATTTCTGTAAAGCCTTGTAGACCAAGAAAAAAAAAAGACATAAATCTTCATAAGAGCAGAATTTCTTATGCAGCAAACAATATAATCTATTTACAAAAAGGTTGAAAATATAAATATTCCCATTATTTCAGAATTGAGAAAGGTAGAGAAGAAAGAGCAATACATTTAAAAGACCCTACTGTAATTTCATAGAGACTTGCAAGACAGAAATTGTTAGGTAGAAAGCTTCTTTCATCAAGACAAAAGAGCATCTTAAAGCATTTACTAAGTTTGCTCTCCAAGTTATTTTTTAAAATTGTAACAGTAAATACAGGCAATAGGATCATACAGCTGTGGTTCTTGGTTCATATGAAGCATATTTCGTATAAATAAACCACATTAAATGTGAGTAACTGATTACCATGACTAGGATCAGTCTTTGTAAGAATATGTTTGGCATCTATTTTAAGGAATCCATGGGTTATAAACATCAATGAAGGTCATAATGAGGATTTATGAAAAACTTCACCTCAGAATATCGAATAAATTTAATTTTACTTCATATGCCATTGCATAAAATCTGCTAGCATTCTGTTAAGTTGAAATTATGTCATGCTAATTTTATATGATTCCACGCTGAGTTTTACATCTTATTGATCATATTGATACAGTGTTTTTAATAAAAATGGAGAAGCATATAATCAATTATTTTCTAAATATAGTCTGGTAATTATAGTCATTCAAAACATGTCAGCAAGGGAAGATAAGAAGTGCTTACTGGTGACAAGTTGAGTTGGTTATTTGTGAAAGTCACAAGAGTTACTGGAAATCATTTTTTTTTCAGTATAAAAGTAGTTCATGTTCTAGATTTTTCATCTATGATTTAACCTAGTAATGTAATCATATGGGTTGAAGCAGGTGCTAAGAACAACAGTTTCTTCCGTTCATATGTCTACTTCTCTCTCTCGCTTGTTGTCTCTCTGTCTCTCTCTGTCTTTGTCTCTCTGTCTCTGTTTCTCTGTCTTTTTCTGTCTTCATGCCTCTGTCTCTCTTTCTACCCTTTCTTCTCCCCTCCTTTCCCTTTCTATATAATTTATTCTCTTGTCTGTGGCATTATAGACCAGTTTTAAAATTTATACATGGGCCTCCATAACATTATATGTTACATTCTCTGTTTATTTTTCTGGATGTCTTGCTTCTTTGTGATAAAATCCATTCCTTTTAAAAAATGTCTAGAAGTATGCATTCTCCAAGATTCAGATTTAGTCTATGTCAGTCTCAGGAAGCTTGTCCATTCTGGGTCAACTAACCAGATCTTGATGATGGCCAAATTAGTATTCCCAGTTTCAACCTCATCTTCAAGGAGATAATTTCCATTTCTATTGAAACACTTGTATTGAAGTGCATTGCTCATCAGAATCAGGAGCAGGTAGAGCAGTATGCGTTCTCTGGAAACAGATCACCATTGCCAGCAAGTCTTCAACTCATTCACATTTTGTGAACTGAATGTGAGTTGAATATGAACTTTGTTGTTTGATAGAGATCAAATCCTAAAATTATCCATGCAATAATCTTCATCTTATGTAAAATCAGAGGAGTCTTGCTGACTATCTCCCAGAGTTCTACAGGAGGGCAATCACATATTTTAAATATCAGTAACCCGGTTTGTCTGTTGTGTTTCCTTACAGATGAACATGGTTATGTCCCTGCTGGGGATGTTCTGCCCAACACTGTTTGACTTATTTGCTGAGTTGGAAGACTACCACCCACTCATTGCTCTCAAGTGGCTACTGGGACGCATTTTTGCTCTTCTTTTAGGCAACTTGTATGTATTTATTCTTGCCTTGATGGACGAGATTAACAACAAGGTAAGCCTTGTCATCAGTGTGCTGATTAACTCTGTCTCCAGATGACAGAAATTCCTCTGACAACACTGTGGCCTTGTTTTTGTTTCTATATCTTTGTGCTTTAGATTGAAGAGGAGAAACACGTCAAGGCCAACATTACCCTGTGGGAAGCAAACATGATCAAAGCCTACAATGCATCCCTCTCTGGGAATACTACTGGGCCACCCTTTTTCGTACATCCTGCAGATGTTCCCCGAGGACCTTGCTGGGAAACAATGGTGGGACAGGTAAGGATGTGAACCAGAGCGCATGCAATTAGCCAACTAAAAATAAAAGCAGAGTCAGTATTTCTGCTAAACATGTTTCCTATTTTTTGCCTAGTAATAGAAATAACTAAGATTTATTGAATATTCAGTGTTTGCTAGTCCTGAAAGTCACATGCATCATCTCATGGACTCCTCATATACATCCCTTGAAATATGTACTTCTTGTAGGTGTCTTTTCCTCTTGGATGTAAACACACTGATGTGGGATCTGTTTAGTTGCTAACAAACCACCCTGATTTAATACACGGCCTCAGACTAGTATTTAAATGGAGTTATATGTAGTGTTACTTGTTGGTCCTAAAAGTAGAATAACATGAAAATAGGATCTCTGGGTGTTATGCACTAATACTAGTTTTAGTAATGTCAATTTTTGTTAAGTGAATTGTCCTTAAGCCTCAGAGGAAATGTTATTTTAAGTTATTTGTTTTCATAATGATTATGCAAATACTCTCATCTAAGTGCTATTTTACCACCAAAAAGAAATAATACTGCCCATGCTTTTTTGTCCAATGAGGGAAACCAAACCAAATAAAATCAAGCAAAAACAACACAAATATTCACTGAAGGATCTCTTATTTCTGTACAGATCCAATTTATATTTTGGAAAGCCTCTAATTATATCTCATTGAAACTGACATCCTTAATGTACATTCTGTAAACTCATTTTGGATGTCAGCTTACCACTGACAACAGAAATTTTAGAATATAGTGCTTGTTCTATTAGACAACAGTTCATTACCAGTGTCTTTGAGAAATTATTTGAAATGTTTTGCTATGTTTTTCTTTTAAGATAAAACTATAATTAAATAATTAGTATTAGTCTTGTTAAATTAATATAAGCAAATACAGGTATGGTAGATCTAGTGTCTCAATCAGATGTTCACTGTTTTTAAGCCAATTAATTGTGGTTTCATTTGTAAGAAAAAATAATAAATATATATAATGGTAGACATAAACAGTTGAAGGTATACTATAAAATATAGTATAGTTAAAGATTGCATTTTGCTTTATTTTTTTAAGCTTTCAAAGCTGAGATAAAGCCCTTCCTTCTTCTGTATTATTAATTGCTCTATTTTCAGATATGTATATTTGAAACATACTTATAGGAGCAGATTACATATTAAATAATAAGTGAAGTAAAAGTTGTCTTCATTTACAAGAGAGATATTTGTGGACCAAGGTGTTGTAGACAGAATAACAGCCTCTCATGTACTAATCCCAGGAACAGAATGTATTCTCCCACATGGCAAAACAGTCTTAGTAGTGTCCAAAGTGTGACTGGGAGTATACAGAGGATGAAGATTACTCAGAGACAAGATTTACTTCAATCACTAAGAACTCACAGGGGCTACTTCTTGGGCATAGGAGCACCTCAGGGAAACAGCAAGCAACCGAGCCCTTTGTGGTTAATTATTTGTAATTCAAGGACATGAGAACAAAGATGTAGCAGAAAAGCACTTGCAATCTATTCTATAGGAGTTTTGATCAGGGGTCAGGGCCAGAATGGGACCATTTTTTATGTGACCTTTGTGGACATAGCTTAGGCAGGCACCTCAGGGCAGAGGGGTACCATGGCCAAAGCAGTCATCTCTGATGGTCCCTTGCTTAATTCTGCTGACTGTCAACCTGCAAATTCTGCTCTAAACTCTAATTATACCTTCCCTGAGAACTGTTGTTGCTCAAGGTCCCCCCCCCTTTTTTTTAAACATATCTGGTTCAATCATGCCTTGGCCATTGTCTCCCCACATTGCAAGTATGATTGGTTAAGGATCTTCCGTTAGGAGAATTATCCTGAATTTTGTGAGGAGGATATGAAATCACAAAGATCTTTAGAAGTGGGGAGTAAAAGCGTCAAAGCCAGAAAGGCTCATTGTTCTATGAGAGCATTCCAGAAACTTCCTCTTCTCCATGGATTTCTTCTGCTCATTTCCCTTTAAGAATGCTGTGACATTGGCCAAGCAATGGCCGTGACTCATCCACATGACTGACAATGACAAAGGTTCTACAATCTGAGGTACAGGATCTCAGGATAAATCCTGAGGGGATTTCACTGACTTTCTCAGACCCAAAAGCTACAACTCTTGTTGCATAGGTCCTGCTTTACCTTGGTCTTAACCATCCAGAAGAAAAGTATAAAAACGAAATATAAGAAATAAAGCCATGCTGTTATGTTGAGCTGTGGGGGACTCAGGTCAACAATTTCTGACATTGCCAGTGAAGTGAAAGACCCAATACTATTATGGGCTACTGGACTCTTTTAGAATATTTTGCTGAGTTTACACACCTATAATATTCAAATAACAGAACTTAACAACAAAAAAAAGGGTATACAGATGAATGTCCATTTTGTACCTTTGTATTCAAAGTGGTTAAGATAGATATATAGTTACATTCTCTTAATGAATAGAATGATTTGATCTAATGGTGTTTGTAAATAGAATATCAAGTCCGCATCTTGTACAGCAATTAACCACTAAGAAGAATGTATGCAGTGTGTTAATTATTGAAACTGTCCTACCGATTTGATTTGAAACTGTCTCATTGCTATTTGTTTATCAATAAAATTATGGCAAAAAAAGAATGCTGTGATACCTTAGTTCATGAATTCAATTTGTTTTATCATTTTGGGAAAGATGGCCATGTTTGTGTTTGTGTGGGGAAAGCAGTCATAGTAGTTTTTGTCACTGATTGAGGAGTTTGTGAACAGAAGTAAACTCTTATCCAGTGTTTTTGTTTGGGAACCAAATTGTTTGTCAATGAAAGCATTCATGAACTGAGGCAATGCTGTATATCTAGTGAAGTCTGCATTCTGGAGAAGGAGAGGAATGAGATAAAAGAGTTAATAGCTGAGGATAGCAATAGTGTCACTGAGATATGACAAGGGGAAGCAGAGCTTGGAGTGAGGAGATTTAAGGACAGAGGGAGGGGACATTGGCTAAGCAAGGAGTCTTGGGAGCACCTAGGAATTAGAAAAGACAAAGGAACACACTCTTTCATTCACTTTGACTTTAAACTGATTTCCAGAATTGTATGTAAGAAAAGGCATTTTAATTGTTTTAAGTTGCACTAACTTTGTGGCAATTTGTTATAGAAGCAAATAGAAATGAATATGCATGGATTCACAAGTTCCCATGTTTCAAGGCTGTTTATAGTGAAATATGATGTTGGCGTTTAACATGTGTCTGTCTTATCCATCTAAACTGCCACCTAAATTTTCAGCACAAGTTTCAAGAGATGAAAACCTCAGAAAATACAGCTTTCACAAACTCAAGAAGATATTCGAGATATTTCCTTCTCATGTATCCTGGACAGCAAGCTGACCTGTTAGTAAACAAACACTTACTGAACAGAATTAATAGTATCAATGGTGGAGGATAAAATATGGACTGATCTGGGAAGAGGAGGAGAAGTTAGATATGAGTTATCCCTCTTTGGGGATATTTAGGTTATACTTCTGTGATTCCCATAATACTGACTTAAAATAAAGGAAATGACGGTTATACATTTCTCCCTGCAAGCCCTTGCCTTTGTCTTTTTCTTTGTAACGGTGTTCATAGAGATTTTCCTTGCTTCACCTTCCCTCTTTCTTGCCATTGTACTTGGCTTTCCTCCTTTTCCTCCATGTTCTTTCTCCTATGGAGTACTGAACACTTGTGCAGAAGGTCTGTAGAGCCAGCCAGGGGAAGGAGTAGCCATTCTGAACAGAGAACTGCTGAGGCAGGAAGAGCCCAGGGCAGTAAAGGGGGCCATGTTGGACATAACTTTTGTGGTGGCAAGGCTGGTCATCCAATCAATGTCTCTATACTTGCACCTGGAAACATTTCAATCCTTTAGTCATGAAAATGAAAAAGTAGTAAAGGCAGATGAATTTAGGCTTATGGTTCATTGTTCTATAAGAACATTCTGAAAGTTTCTTCTCTGGGGATGTCCCCTGCTTTGTTTCCCATGAAGAATGCTGTCATACCTTGTTTCATGAACATAATTTGTGTTATCATTTTGGGAAAGATGGCAATGTTTGTGTTTGTGTGGGGAAGACAGCCATAGTTGTATTTGTCAGTGAATGAAGAGTTTGTGAACAGAGGTAAACTCTTGCCCAGTGTTTTTGTTTGGGAACCAAATTGTTTGCCAATGAAAGCATTCATGAATGGAGGTAATGCTGTATATCTAGTGAAGTCTGCATTTTGGAGGAGAGAAATGAGATAAAGAAGTTAGGAGCTGAGGACAACAATGATTAACATTTGCTGGGTATTTTTAAGGTTCCAAACGTTACTTCATTGAATTCTTTTTTCATATATATATATATATATATATATATATATATATATATATTATAGGATCTACAGAGTCTCACTACTGTAGATTGGGTTACCCAGCCTCAATCGCTGTTTCAGTATGCCCTGAGGGCGGGGCCAGCATGGCATGCCAGGGTTCAGATCCCAGCTGCTGATCTCTGCCTAAGCAGGCATTTTAGTCCACTGAGCTATCTGGCCATCCCTAGTTCATGAATTCTTAAATATTCCTCTGCAATATGTCCTATCATTCCCACCTTGTAGGTGAGGAGACTGAGGCTTAGAGATGTAATCTGCTCAAGACCTCACAAGAAGTCAATAAATATAACCCGCATAGTTGACTTAAGTTTGTGTTTTCGTTCATAGTACTGAACCAGTCTCTGGAAACAATTAGTCTTAGCCCATGTCTCCAAATGCCTGGCTTGAAATATCTATTGTCTGTGGCCCTTTATGTTGCCTTGACCATTCTTTTCCTTCTTTTTTTTTTCTTTTAAATGTATTTAGTACAGGGTCTATCAGGTCTCACTATGTAGGTTGGACTCGTAGTGATCCTCCTGATTTCCCAGCTTCTCAAACACTGGGATTACAGGCTCACACCACTGTGCCCTGTCTCCATCACTGTATCAGCATGCCCACGGGGTAGGGTGATTGCTGCAGGCCCAGGATCGAACCCCAGTCCCTGCATCTGCCTAAACAAGTGCTTTTATCACCTGAACTATCTGGCCAGTCCTTTACTTTTGTTTATTGGTGATTGCTTTAGATCTATTGTTCAGAATTGCCCAAATATTTCCACCGAATATCCTGAGAGTATGTTTGTCAGGGGTTGAATGTCGTGCATGAGGTGAAATGTATGTGACAGTCAGGTGCTCCTCTTCTCACCTAAGTGTTCAGAGACAGAAGTAGATGTCATTTCCGAGGTGAGATTGGATCACCATCTTGGAGATTTTCTTTTCTCTGGAGCAGTGAACTCCCCTCATGGCATATGAATAGATATTTATAAGTTTTGAATCTTCTTCATCTGTTTTAAATAAATATTAGATTTTTCATATATTTCTTTACTCATTTATTTATCTTGAGGGAGAGTAGAATTTGGGATAAGGGTGCTTAGGAGGATGTGAAGGATTTCCTTGTTACGCAAATTTTTCTTTTACTTTTGGAAGTCTTCCTTTCCTGTAATGGAAACTGAAAATATCTCTCAGTTTATCTCCATTTCAAACTAATAATTAGAATCTGAATTCAGCATTGAAGGAGGGTACAAAGGCCATTAAGAATAGGAAAAAGAATATTTACATGTCAGAATAGCTTCAGGACTCTACTATCACTCACCCACTCCTCCCCTTATTGAATGAATGCTAATTATAAGGTGATGTGGTAGATGGTAGAGAAGGAAACAAAGATGGAGAAATTTTCTACTGGTTGTGCTGTTTAAACTGAAGTTTGCTGATGAAGATTTTCCTTATTGACCCCATTGAAGTGAGAGGAAGTATACGGCCTAAGGTGCAGTTTGTAACTGCAAGCAATTATAGCTTTCTTGTGTGGGTATAAACTGGATACATGGAATGGGGTCTGGCTGTACTTAGGAGAGGGCCTGCCTATGTGCAGTACTAATTTTCAGGCTGCACCTTTATCAGGCTTCTATAGTGAGTAGTTTGGTATAGAGAGAACACAAAATTATCACACAAAACTTACAAATATATAGTAGTAGCAAAACACTCTAAGGAGAGAATGCAGAGCTTCTGAAAGCTTGTTACAGAGAGTTCACCTTTCTTGGGAGACGAGGGAGATGTTCCTAAGCTAGCAATGCTGTGCTAATGTGTATTAGTAGGCACAAACTAAATCAAAAGGGGAATTAGAAAAGAATGGTAGGGGGCAGGGATGTAGTTCAGAGGTGTACGCACCTGCCAGGCACACACAAGGTCCTGAGTTCAGTCCTGGTTTAAGAAAAAAGTGGCTGGCAGAGGGAAAGCCTCATGTGAAGATCCTATGATCTGAAATGCTTTGGATTTGGAAGGTCTGAAAGAAGGCCAGTGAGGTCCAAGTTGAGAGGACAAAGGGAGGGTCGATCCAGGGAGGGTACAGAGAGCTAGACATGGGGACTCGAGAGGGAAGAAGGCCCAGAAGTGACAGCTTTCAGCACACTCTTGGGGAAGGCTGTCTCTTTTTCTGTATCCTTCCCATTCTACATTCTTCTTTAGGGTCACTTCTCCAAATAGTGAAGTGGATATAGCATATATACCACATATATATATATATATATATATATATATATATATATATATATATATGCTAGTTTGAATGGCAGTTAATGCTCAAGTTAGTTTTAAATTTTATAGTAAATTTTCAAAGAAATTTTTATGCTTAATACGCTTATGTATAATTAACTTCTCTTTATAATTGATGATAAATACTGTGTATATATACACAGTAGCATTATAATAGTAGCATTAACCTTTTAAAACATAGTATAGAAAAGCTAAAAGAGATACTGAACATAATATTTCATGTGGTTCTTTGATTTGGTAATCATTGCGAAGGTAACACATGACACCCTGGAGTTTAGCAAGTGTGGTAGATTAACTGACGGTCAATTCATAACATCCAGCTGAAATGAATCAGAGCGGTGCTGCATATGGAAGGCCCAGTTGGGGATTGTTGCCCACAGCATAAAAGGAGAACTGAAGAGAAAAATGTTATGCTCTTGGTTTTCCTGGAGAATCTTATCACACTGGTTTTTCTGATACAAACTCAGCTGTTCTTCCTGTCAGAGGAGCTCAGGCTCTGTCTGTGGCTGAGGATGGTTGCGGTTCTTTTCCGATCCTCAGCTGGAGCATCACTTCCAGTCTCCAGTGCAGATCCCTGAAGCTGCTGGCACAGACCCTTCATGCTGTTGGTGCAGATGTTCTAGCTTCCACCAGTGACCTTTGGGCCATCCCAGTGTAGATACTTGATACGGACATACATGGGACATTGTCGCAGGCTTTCGGCCTCCAGCTGGACTTGTGGAGAGCACTGCTATGGGCTGTAGTTCTTTATCTGGATACAGCTGGATTCTTAGGGTCTGTAGTGTGTGGACAGATCTGCCGTTATCTACATTTGACTTTGTGAGTGAATATTATAACATAATCATATAAATTCTATGTCCTCTATTAAATCTGTTTCCTTGTAAACCCTGATTACAATAGGAAGCATAGATCTGAAGAATGAATCTGAAAATTAGCCTAATGATTGCTAATTGAATGTTCCTTCATCCTGTGAGATAATTCATTAGTTATGATAGAAGGGAGCTCAGAGGAAATTAAAATCAAAAGACTTTTCATGTTATACAACACCAGTACTTCTGCAAAAATATGACTTACTAGATAGTTACATTACATTTCAAATTGTTGGAAATACAAAGGACTAGTAGAAGCAAACTATGTGATAAAAATTTATTTTTGCATGTCCATTCTTACATTTAATGTTCATTGTCAGATGATTTTCATGAAAGAACAGTGACTTTGCCAAGTCATAATGTACATGGTTTCCATACAAATGTAAAACCCACACCACTGAGCTGACCAGCCTTGAATTTTGCCAACCTCCACTTAGTGTATATGAATGCACGTCACGCACGTGCACACATTCAGACACGTATTCTTAGTATCTTATTAAGAAATCTACTTATGTAGTAATACCTTGGTTCAGGAACGCTGCTGTTCACAAGCAATTCACTTCACAAACAAAAGCATTTGGCAATATTTTGCTTTCATTCAAGAATTCCACATTGGGTGACAAGCACGACTGTGGCCATCTTCCCCATGCAAACTTAAACGCAGCCTTCTATCCCCACGTCATCAAACAAATTGAGTTTGTGAACTAAGCTACAGCTGTAATATATATAATTTGTTTTGTAAAGTTTTACTATTGTTTAATTTTTATTTTTATTACCAACTGTACATAATGATTTTAAATACCCATATCCTAGAAAAGAATTTTAGGCTTTTAAAAACACTTTTGTTCAGGTACAATTAATATATCATATCTGTTATTCATTTAAGTATATAATTCAATACTAGATAAAAAACTTCCTATGTGGTTAATATTTCCTATCTTTTATTTTTATGTCATACTTTAAAGAGTTTCTTGAAAAGAAGACCTTTACATAGTGATATGAGGATGGAGAATAATTATTTTTATAGGAATAAAACCTAGGTGAATCATTGGCTAGCTATGTCCAGTTGTTCGTTCCTTTTACCCTTGCTTTTAATTGCAGTCTTCAAGCCAACAATTTTTAGAAACATGATGTTTGCAATGGGATTTTTGAAGACAGAAATGCATGTTTTATTTATTTATTTATTTATTTATTTATTTTTTTTATTTTTTTTCGGAACCGGGGATTGAACTCAGGTCCTTGCGCTTGCCAGGGAAGTGCTTATTGCGCTGAGCCATCTCCCCGGCCCCAAGAAATGCATGTTTTAAAACAGAAAATATCTCAACAGGAATTTGTGCGGCTGACTGTTTCTGATGTTCTGACGACATATGTCACCATCCTCATCGGTGACTTCCTCAGGGCATGTTTCGTAAGGTTTTGCAACTATTGCTGGTGCTGGGATTTGGAATATGGATATGTAAGTATGGCATTAATTTTTCTTTTATTAGACTTTTCCTTTCTGATGCACCATTTACACAGATTATGCTGGAGGACGGGCACCTCAGAGTCTCATGGGCATGGTCACCATTTTGGTATCAGTGAATAACAAGGCAGATAATTGACAAGAACCCAGAGCTGAGTATCATGGACTTCAGTTTTGAAGTAAAATTAACACAGGCTGAATCATGTGGTGTCCTCAAGCTATGATGTTGAACTGAATCCTCAGTTAAAATGTTGAACTCAGGATTTCTTTGTCTCATAGCCCTTTCTTCGTGGAGCTGGCTGGTGTTTCTAGATGCAGGGTAAGATGACTGTTGGCTGCATATTTTAAGTCCTTGGAAATGTACTGCATGATTGGATACTTGTGTTTGGTTACCATGAGATAGATTAGGGGGATAAAAGGATTCACTAAATATGGTGCTTGCTTCTTAAATCCCACAACCAGGCTGGAATCTGACAGAGAAACCAACAAGAGGTAGGGAGGTTTTCAGGAAGACTTGATTTACAGTCAGGGCTTTGGTCAGTAGAGCTGCACTCTGGGGATGGGGGTGGAGTGACTTCATTTCCTGAAGCAATAGCACAGATGTCTTTGGAGCTCACTGGAGCTGCCTCCACTACAAGCTTTGCCTCTGTACTCAGCCCCCTGGTCCCCTAAAGTTGAAGGGCAGAAGTACAGCACCCAGTGTTTTGTGGTCTAACACATGGCCAGGACTTGATTTCCCATGTTTTGCAAATAAAACTGGCTCCATGTATGCTGAAAAATATAGCCTGGGGGATTCATAGCACTCAGGTGGCTAAAATCCTCATGTGACCTCATAAGCCACAAGAATGAAACCTGAATGCCTTCCTGGGGCCTTCAGCACCTTGTGTCATCTGTCTTTCTGAGCTCACTTGTTACCACTGTCCCTCTTGTTTTGTAAAGTCCACAAACAGCCTTTTTAAAATACGCAAACACAAGCTAGTCCCTGCTTTTGTTCCTGGATGTTTCTTTCTGAAGGGGCACTGCTACCCTAGAAGTTTACACAGCTGATTCTTGTCGTGAAATACTCAGTCACTAGTTATACCTCAGAGCTTTTCTCTAATCATTTGATCCAATGTAACCTATCAGGCACTCTACATGTCAACATGATGTTTTATTTTATTTTGACATGTTCTTTTAAAATGTGCTTATTATCTGTCTTTTTCTGTGAGAGTGAAACCTACATGAAAACAGAAGCCCTGACCTCTGCCATCTGCACCACGCTAGTAACATGGTGGGTGTCAGGTGTTGGATGTGGATCCTCCACATCCTGGAGGCAGCACTGCCTAGTGACAGCCCTCTGCTCCAGAGTCAAGGATGCTTCTGTCCTCTCCAGTGAAGAAATATTCTTGACAGCCACTCTAACTTTTATTTTTTTATTTTGGGGAAGGGTCTACAGGGTGTTCAGGGTCTCACTACTAGATTGGACTTGTAGTGATCTACCTGTTTATAGCCTTCCAAGAGCTGGGAATCCAGGCATGTGTCACCACGCCCAGTCTCAATTGCCATCTCAATGTGCCCTGGGGGCGGGGCCAGAATGGCAGGCTCGAACCCTGCCCTCTGCACCTGCTTGCAGGCCCTTTAATCCGCTGAGCAGTTTGGCCAGCCCTACTGCTCTAACTTCTGTTTCATGCTCTCCAGTTCCTGGAGGAGTCCTGTGTGCAACATGCCTTGCAGAGCTCCTGGCTCTCTGGCTGTCTGACTTGAGATAATGCCTTTGATTAGGTCATCCCTGTCACCCTCACTGAAAGTGCCTCATGCCCAGAGGTGCGAAAAGCACTGAGATAATGCTTTTTGGTGAGCCACAGTGAGGTCATGCTATAGATCCAAGATGCTATGTTGTGTGGCTTTCTCATTTGTTGCTATGAGGTATTCAGCTGGCTTGGTTTCATTTCTAATTTTCTTGCTTACTTCAACTTTCCTGAGACAGACATAAAATTGCCATTCTTTTCTTAGCCTATTGCTTGGCTTTTGTTTGGCCTTTATCCTTTGCTGCTTTGTTCTTAAGTAGTAGAAGATTTGATTGCAAGTACAAAGTCAATATAACATGCCTTGCGTGCTTAAGCAGTAACTAAATGATTCTAATTTGTAATTGAGAGCTGACAGAGCTGTTGGGTTAGTACAAAGTACAAGGAAATAAGTTTCTATTGTAGGTGTTGTGAAATATTTTCTCATGCTACCTTCGAGGGTCTTTGGAGAAAAGCTCCTGGGATCTAGGTTAACTTTGAGCTCTTGGGACTCTACAGTTCAACCCTAGTTGAGAGTGGGGCTCTATTACATCCAATGGATTCTACCCACATATTTGAGTGGAACTTCAGAGTCCTTGATGTTCCTTTTCCCATGACCTCTTTCCCCTCCATGGGGTACTCATGACCTCTTACTGATTCCTTGTCAGATTGTCTTGGCTGCTACTTAGTATCTCCACATTCTCATTAGCAAACATCATCTGAGCAAGATGAGTAACCCTGGAGACCAGGGAAAGTACAAGATTTCTGATTTAGTAGCTCTGGGGCTGGGCCTAAGAAATAACTTCTCTTACAAATTCCATGATGCACCTTCTGACCCTGGTCTGGAGACCACACTCGGGATTCATTGCTCTGGAGTGGTAGTCCAGGACAGCCTGGAGCTAGAAGTTGAGTGATTCCAGCTATCAGAATTGGGATTTGTGTAAAAAAAGATGAGAAAAGATAGCTACAAAGAAAATTAATTCTCTCTGAGATTTTGAATTACATGTCATAATATCCATAGGTTGTCAGTCTGCTCAGAATAACTAAACTCTCAGGGACACAATGGGTCTTCGCAGGCTTTTTGGTCCAATGAATGCCAGATGTCTTCCCTCTGGGTAGATGACTGGCTTCTGAACACCACAAACAAAGGTCTAAAAATAACACAAGACCATTTCTAGTCCTGTAGCTATTGTGGTCCTCTGCCTAATAGCTGAGGACCACATTTGGTTCCTCTGTTTCTGACTTCTAACAATGCTGCTAGGGTGAGGGACCATCACCAGGTTTATTGTACTCTTTTCACTGAATATTCCATCATCCCTGTCTTTCAGAAAGCTCATTTTTGTTCCCTCCAATTGTCATTTGTTTTTATTTTTCTATTTTACAGACAATTGAACTAATATA